CACAGTGCGACTCCCTTCACAGGCGCTCCGTGCTTCCCTGGGACAGCCGCAGGCACCCAACCAGATGCACCACCTCAGCTCTTGGGCAGTCCATTCAGACCTTCGCCTATCTTGTACTTTGAACAGCTGCTCTAAGCCTAACAGTGCACCTCATCCACAGCGTCACACCCACAGACCATCCGCAGATACTCATTTTGGACCAGTGCTCTGTACAAAATCATTCAATTTGCCGATAGATGGCAAATGGTGCTAACAAATAAGTTACCTGCTGCCTGCTAACAGAAACCGGTGATGACCCAGGTCATCTCAGAAACAGTAACGTTTTTTTCTTAAGGAATGATTAGTTGAAAAACAATACTAAAGAGGCAACAACTGCTATGACTAAATTCGTTCTGTTGGCCTCATTGGGGGGGGTCACCTTTCCTGTTCTGTGCCAGTCAGATCAGTTCGCAGAAGCTCAGAAAGAGGAACATTAACCAAAATGTACCAGCAGCATCCCAAGGACAGACGGAGACAGCCAGAAGGGATTTCAGAGTACTCATTGCCTACGAAATTTTGGAACCCTCTTAAACCAGTCATTCAAATTAGTTCAAGATATATGGGTTTAATCCTTCCACTCCCTCTAGCAAAGTACAAAGCACTTTATCAGGGAGCTTTCAGCTGAGGCCAAATCAGGGAGTTTGTCTGTTTGGCTAATGCAGCAACACTGATCTCTGCCTCCTGATGGAAGGTGAGATTTCCCCTCGCACGTGATTCTGCTCCCCATTTAAAGCCAGTGTATTTAACTACCGATAACTTGTTGGGCCGGTATCACACCAATTTAGAGTATAAAAAGTAATGTCTTCTGGGACAAAATAACTTCCTCTGTTCTGTAATTACTATGATGACACCTGCCAGAGCAAGTCCATCCCTGGTTCAGGCCTTCCGTGATTACCACTACCTGAAGTTTGTAAACCTACCAAGAAGATGATTGTTTATCCCAGATTAAATCCAGAATTAACATTGCCTGGGAGACCAGCAGACAAAAAACAGAGACGAGTGATCCATAGTTGTCTTTCTTGGAGGAAAGATCCCTCTCCCTCTATCAGCAAGAGAATACTTCCCCAGAAAGCTCCAGAAGGAAAGATCAACCTCTACCTGCCAATTCTCCTCTATCTTACCTAGAAACAAAAGATTGAATAGGACCCAGACCCCCATTTCTTTTCACAAAAGCTGTAACAGTTACAGACTGAGGTCAGACTCTGTGCGGAGAATGTGCATGATGGGACACGAGCATGACTTGCACGCATCAGCCTGGTAAAGCATCTGCAGTGCAGGGCTCTATTCTCCACTGCCTTCACTCGGCCACAGGACCAGCACAGAGAAGGTTGCACCTCATACTGGTGAGGCACATCTATCTGTTCCTGCAGGCCCCCAGCTCGGAGAAAGGGGGACACACAAAGCCGGACCATCTATATTTTTCCTGCCCAGTGGTTTTTTTGGGAGGGCAGTCTGCAGCTCAGTGTTACACCAAAGATACAGTGATCTTTAATGTGCGTTTAGTCTCCTAGTGGAGGTGCTCTAAGAGCAGTGAAGGAACTCTCCAGAGCAGCAAAGCAGACACCACTGATGAAAGCACACACCATCACTAAACGGACTTATTTACAGTATTCATCTATGAAAAGCAATCTCAAAAGTTAAATGAGTGGTCAATACAAGACATCCCTCAAAAAAAAAAGGAATCCATAACTAGAGTGGCATCAGCACAGTGACTATCCCCCATGTTATCACAGTCCCAGCAGAGCAGAAAGGGAAGTACACTAACCCAAGCAGTGACCATTCCTCCATAGCAGGACCTTCTCATTGTGGTCAAGAGCTACACTGACCCTAAAGCTACCATAACTTGCCCATTGTGAGCCGAACTAAGTGCCCTCTGGGTCTCTGTTTTACATCAAGTCATCAAAACATCTTTGTTTTCTCTCAACTGGAGCTGGGTTGAAGACAGGAGTCAAATTCAAGCAGTTGGGTTTTATTCCGTAGTTCTACAGATTAGTCCTTTCACTGGGGTTGTTATAGCATACATGGAAAACATTTTTCAGTCACTCAGAACACGGCCTTTGTGGTTGGTTTCTATATTGTGGTTTGTTTTTTGTATTTGTCTGTTTTTTAAACCTGTAGAAAGTAAACAATCATATTAGGGAAAAATTAAAAGGGATGAATCTGGCTGATCATATTTCTGTCAAACGAGAGGAGTAAAAAAACTTTTGCTTCAAAGTATTCACAAACAAACACTTCCTCAGGAACTGCACAAAGGCATCAAGGAGATCCAACTGTAGAAGAGTTGAGCATTTACCTAGTTAGACCCCCCCTTCTTCATTTGTATCAAAGACCAGCCTGACCATATACTGACAATTGCCTACTACTACAGTAGTCAACAGAATGAATTTAAATATTTCAACTTCCCAAATCAAGAAATGAAATTAATTTAAAAATATTTTAATGTAGCGAGCTGGGCTATAGGACCAGTGCAACATAAAGAGGACACCCATTTTATAACCAACTTTAACTTTACTGCTTAATCTTAACAGAGTAAGCTACAGATGCAACGGATTTACCACAAGTTATTTGGTTAAATGAAATACTGCAGTTAGGATCATGCTATTGGTCATTGTGGCTTTACAGTACCAATGCTCAAGTTGGCTGAGTTAGTTTTACTGTCAGTAAAATGCAAGTTTACAGAGAAACAAAATAATTTAGTATAGTACGCTGTATTCTGTGTCATGCTCAGTCACAATGATAACGTCTTCAACAGATAAAACAGTACTTCAGCATTATGCTAATAATGCCAAAACATACAGGAATTTTAATGCCAAATTTACAACGTAATACAGTGCTTAACAAACAGATTTCTCAGGAACGGTGGCCAACTGAGAATGCTACACAGGACTGAGAGGCATCCGAGCACTACCCAGTGCATACGAAGTGAACCACGCTGACGGGAATGCTTTACCTTTTGATGGAATTATTGTTCTAGAAGTTTGTGTCCCAAACGTAGTGCAACGTAAAATGAATGTCAAACCCTTGCCTCAAACACGAAGCAAAAGGGCTGCATGTTATTTACAAACTTGAACCAGTAAAACCACTTTAACAGAAAAACATTGTGATCACTTGACAAAGACAACAAAGCTTGATTACTGTATTACGTGAACTAGAATGGTAACGAAGTTGTAAACAAATTTTAACCAAATTAGGTTAATGCATCTATTCTTAACTCAAGAATATTGTCATTTCAGCAAACAGTGATTTTTAAAGCTAAGGACACTATCAGAGGTTTTATTTTTGTTTAAAGCCAAAACTGATCAAGATCTGGAAGCTGACAAATCATTTTTTGTTCCCTATTAGCCTTCATTAACTTCTCCATTGCGTACTTCAGCAAAATTTTCAAAATTCCTGGTTTTGTCTAATTCCGCTTCAACTTCAGAAGGTGGTCGGACGGCTGAAGCAAACACTACCAACAGTTGAAAAATCCCTACTGAGAGTGGTTTGGTTTTCCACTATCGGGGATGAGATTAGACTGCTGGCATTGTTCTACAATGAAAACAAAACACTGAAGGATTCAGTTTTAATTTTAAAAGAAAAACTTCTGCAAAATTAAATCAGCTTTGCGAATATCTAAAGAAATACATAGGTAAATCAGGTTTGAGTCAATCAATCACAGCAGCATCTTCCTCATTCTTCCTCCCCCCCACCTTCCAACCTAACAACATTGCCCAAGTGGCTGATGTGAAACTGATAGAATTAAATTCATTTACATGAAGACCGGCTACAAAACGAAACCAAAAAGAAACTTTGTCCCTGCCGTATCTATGTTTTTTATCTTTTTCCTGCATTTTGTAGTAAACTCATGCAAGCATAAAGGGGGCTGTGTTGTTTTTTTGTGTTTGTTTTTTTTTTTTTAAACAGGCATAAGAGTTGTGCAAGACAAAACTGAATAAACTTTTGTTTCAGAAAGATTTTATATTACCAACTCATTTCTCTTCAAAACTAAATGTGATAAAAAATAAATCCTTAGTAATAATAATAAAAAAAAAACAACAAACAACCTGTAGTCAAACTGCTATTTCAAGTACGTTTGTCCCCTCATGAAAGAATTGCATTAGCCATACCACTGATTAAACCCATGTCACAATCATTAGGACTCAGACCATAGGTCCAGATCTCCTGGAACTGGGCTCAACTGGATCTCCAGCTGAGTTTACACAAGACTGGAAACAAGAAGCCGATGGGTATATGTGCATGCATTACACCACTCCTCAACTCCCTGATTCTGACAACATCCGCTATCACACCCCCATGACGTGCCCCAAGCAGGAGAAACGGCACAGGTGCCACAAAGTGATCTCGGACAGGTACCATCATTCCCTGATCAATCAGGTGCAAATCTGGCTTGTGCTGACAGAGATGCACTTTGCAGACCTACCCACTGGAGAATTTTGCCCACAATGTTTCTACAGAGCACAGAATAAAACACATCTTAGTATTTCATTCAGTCTGGAATTCTCATCTCAATCTATTGCAATTATGGAAGCCAATGAAAGGTCAATGAGAGGGGTTCTACAAGAGTTGGTCCCAGCATTAAACACAAATACGTATGAAAAATAAAAGGGGACAAACTTCAAGGTCACTAGTAGTGATGGTGATAGGTTCAACTTTTCTTCCTTCTTAAATTCACCTCCCATTAATTAATGCAAGAGAAAAGTGCAACTTTGCAGCATGTTTGTTCACATCAAGTTTTTCCTCAAGAACACATTTTGCAGTAACAAAATATGGTCTCTAAAGTTGCAAAGTGCACAAGCTGAAGGCACAGAGTACAAACACATAGGAAAACAGATTTCAAAATACCAAGTAACAAAAAGAAGAGATAAAAGAAAAATCTGGAATTTAAGACTCCCTGACAGAAGATACATTTATATGGGACCAACTCTGAAAAGGTGACAATTTTTTAACTAACAAACAAATACTGCAAAATAATGAAACTTTATTCTTATTATTTAAGTAAAAGCTCCAGAAAATACCTTGTTTAAAAACTAATACACTGACGTGTTAACTAGTTTTAAGAATGTCCTTAATATTAAGAAAAGAGTGCAAAAAAGATTCTTCCATTCTAACGCTTTTGGAAGCTGCTGATTTTGGCTGCCCATTTCCACTTTGAAAGGATTGTTTTTCAAGGTGCATTCCTCACAAAAATCGCAGAACATGAACTTGTTGAGAGGCCAGACCAAGGAATCATGTCTTTCAAAGTCATCCCAATCGTAGCAGCAACTGACATTTTATTATATCAAGAAGAAAGTCCAAAACTCTTCTTTTGAGGCATAGTTCGTGTCAGAGCTCGAGCATCAGCAGTTGCCAAAGGAGGCTCCGGATACCACCTGTGCTCCTCCAGTGTCTGTTCTGGCTAGGAATAGAAGCTGATCCAGTATGTTCACTATCTGTACCCCCTGGAGCTTGCACAAGCTGACGAGCCATCTGAAATTATATAAAAGGTTCGAGAAATTCTCTCATATTAAACTTCCACCTTATGTCCTTTGCCCCCTCCTCCCCTCAACAACCTGAAAACCAACATTGCCTGCCAGACGTTAACAGTGTAAACTGAAGCTGGTGCATCAAGTAAATAGCTATTCATTCATTTTAGGCTGTAATAACAGTTCACCATAAAACTGCACAACGTTTTATGGTAGGAAATAAAGCAAACATACTCTGCTGAAAGCACAGGAAGAAGCATGGCAGAAAGAATACAATAAAATGAACTGAAGTTATCAACAGCACCAGAACAGATACTATTTCCCAGTCCCCAAGGCTATTTAATGACCAGCAATCAGAACACTGTATTTAAATGCTAACCTAGAATGTATGGGACTGGATTCTCCCCTGGCCAAATATTTAGTCAGCGCAGAAGATGGGAACTTTGACTGCACCCAAATTAGGGATGTCTGGAATAGAGCAACCAACTGAAAATGGAAATATAATTCCGCCCTGAGCTTCCTTCCCCCCTAACCTACACTGGGGGAAATTAAGGGACTCACAAAGTGAAGAACCTCATAGTTAAATGTGCAGCAAGAGACTTCATTTACAAATGGAAGAGAACTTCCCAAATACTGCCTATAGTATCTCAATGCAGGTGGTTTCCATGTTGTATTAGACAAGTAATTGAAGGTTCCAAGTTGAAAAGCACAACCTTCCCAAACCCTCTGTCAACAGACAGAAACACGCATCACCAGCGGGTGTTTTATAGCAGAGGTGGACTGTCTCATCATTTCATTGCCTGTTATATGTATCCTGGCCAGGCAGAGACTTGGGACAACTATGTTCTTTTTCCTTAGGACTTCAGCTGTGCATTTAAATGAAGCAGAATTATCTTGGTCACTACAGGATATTGTACTACCTTACAGGTGGCTGTGGGACTCTAGCACAGTTAGCCAGGCTCTAGACTCAAGAAGTTTGTATTATTACATAGAATGGTAGAAGTTACACTGGCAGACAGCAAGCTACGACGTGGAGGTGCAGCTTCTGAGACCTCACCACCCCCCTGAGAACCCAGAAGCCCACCGCTATCTGTATGCCCAGCCCATCAGCCTTAGATGCATACTTACTGTAAGTTAACTCTTCTCCAGCTCTCTTGCGTGACTGGTCACCTCTAGGAAAGATGGGGAAGAAAGGTATTTTCATTTTAAGAAAAGGAAAACAATAGTGAAATATCTCAGCACAGTCATCAACTTTTACAGACTTTAGAAACAAAATGCAAATGAAGTAGCAATAACGCAACTGCAGGATTCTCAATTTACTAAACCAGAAATGCAAGCTATATTTTATAGATTTAATTAGCTCATTCTTTCGTTAAAGATAGTAAGATTGATTTTATAGGATAATATTTTACAAAATGAAGATGAGGAAAAATTGCTCCTATGCAGTGTGGTCTTAAGTCATGCATAAAATTTTGTCCTTAATTCAAACTTTATAGAACTACGTGAAAAACTCTGCATCTATCAGTCTAAAAAGGTAAGATGCTCCTGAAAACCCAACAATCAGACTCTAAGCAAGTCTTGCTGAAAGCACTCCCTCTTCAAGCAGATTTAAATAAATAACTAAAGTTATATGAACACTGGCAGCCATCATTGCTCCCGAAAACCCCAAATTAAATCCTCATCTATTTGGAAATATTTTTTTCCTTTTATTCTTGCACAAAGAAGAATAAACAAACTCATAAAGCTGGAAAATCTTGCTGCTTCGCAAGTTTCTTGTGATGATAGATGAGCTATTGAAACCATTATATAAGGAAGAGAGATTCCAATATATTTTCACGACAACAGTTGTAATTTCACATTTATCTGCTGGCAGTTGGTAGAAATTGGGGGTTTTTCTAATAATACAAAGTGTTCTTCCCTGAAACCACTCTTAAGGTGATGGACCTGCTGTGTATGCCTTGATAAAGGTCTTTCATACGAGAAATACCACCTAGCAACTGGCTTGTGTTCCCACTTTCTGCAGCAACAGTCCTTGCTAGTGTTGATAAGCCGACTATTTTCAGCTAGAACCTGACATGCCATTAATGCTGATGGAGACCCCTCACTGTGCTGTGTTCCTCATTGTTATTGTTGTAGGAAGTGCAACAGCAAAGACATTGCCATTTTTGGCACAATTATAGGAAAACAGATGACATTTCACGCTAATCCAGAAGAGGACAGACTTAGCACACTCCTTAGTGAAAGAGAAAACCCACCCTTTTATATATGTAGGAATATACCCTCAAAGCAATTCTGAAAGGTTATAAATAAATATAACTTATGTTCCTGAACACAAGAAGGAGCATATTACATCCTGAAATACATTTCAAGGCAAAATACATTTCAAATACCACTGCAAAATGCCATGTAGCAAATTGAATCACCTGTACTTCAGTTTTCTTTTACCCGTGTCCTTTTAATGACAGACTCTACTCTAACACTTTATATAACCTCCGCGTTTACCAGACCGCACTGACTCCCTGGCAGTACAGCCATATAAAATACATCATGCAAAACACGTTCATCAGAGACTAAATGCCATCAATCAGTTACTCCGCTGCAAAGTTTTATTTTGCATTTTTATGTAATAAATGGAAAGCAAAGTACACAGAAACAGCAGTTGCACCAAAGCCCGGACTAGGGTGGGCTGGTTTGCTAAACCTACAAGACATACCAAAACTCTTTACATGTCCAATACCCAGAAGATCACATACTGCGGACAAAAGGAAGAGGAACTCTTAGAAATTAGACTCAATGTGACACAGAAACCATTTCTTAGTTCTTCCCTGTATGACTATCCTCAAGCTCTAATCTCTTTTTTGTCCCCACCTATCACACAGGACAGAAACCGTTTCCTACAGATTTGCGTTAGTTCCAGAGCCAGAGACTTAGTTTTCTGCATAAACTAGGAGCTGCTAAAATATATTACAAGGCTCGCACCAAGTCTCTTAATAAGAGAGCACCACAGAGGCATCTAGCCTTTGCAATGGTCAGTAATCTTCCTACTACCCTTCCTATCCCGTTATACGGCATCCCCCTCACAGTACCAGCCAAAGAACTTCAGAGCCAAGCTGACAAGCCTCTCTTATTTTCAGGTGCGTAGGGAAACATGTTTTTGAAACCGATTGTTTTTGTGGATATGTACTGTTACTATTCAAAACTTAATTTTTAATCCTCTATGAAGTGTGAAACTGGTGAATCACAGTTGTAAGGCGAACTATTATAAGCCACCTATAGAATTAGTAAGATTGAAAATTAGAAAACACTAAAATGTTCCTTTTTTTGTTTTGTTCTGCGCATCACATTGCTTTGTCAGCATTATATGCTTACTCAGTTTCAGTCAGTCTCAAGCTTCTATTTCTCAGGCCAAATGCACTGCTTTTCTCAGCCTAAGCTCTTATGGCTTTGTTTTCACTGTCTTAAAGCATGCTTATCTATCAAAATTTTATTTCCTCAACAGAAAGCCTTACAAGGAGTGAGTTTACAATACCATTTGCATTTGGGTCAGTAGTAGAGTTCTAACATTCAGTAATTTACCAAGCTTTGAAGAAAGAGATTACCTTTGAGGAAAACTACACAAGAGTATGAAATCTAGGAGTACATCTAACACTAAACATACCCACATCCAGTGGGTGTTTGAACTACAGGACCAGGTTTTCAGCACTGCAGTTGCACAGGTAACAGGAAGGATGAAGACACATTCTCTTCATGCAGAAATGAACCTCTTGGAAACAGAGCAAGAGAGCTTCCCCAGCCTGGTCTTGGGTTGTCAGACTACTGCAAAAGTGGTACACCAACGTGGTGAAAAAGCTGTGCTTCCTTCTAGGCAGTTACATAGAAGAGCAGAAAGCAACAGCGCACAGCTCAGAGCAAACAATACAGGTTACGAAAATTTTCCACTGTCTCTTTTACTGCTTGTTCTTCCCCCCCACCCCAATTAATTAGAAGAGACATGTATTTAAAACCAACACCTTGACTGTATAAATAGCTCTGAAAGTAGAATAAGAAGTAGTCATCAACTGACATTTTCAGAAGCATCATGAAAAAAAAAAGACATCTTAGAAAATAAACAGCCAAAGTTAATAAAGGCTGAACAAAAGAATGATCATGCATTAGAAGCAAAATCAAAACACAGGGAGGCATGAACCGAAGCAATCTGTTTCATGAAAATATTTCAAGACTTCCAATCATCTACTTTTTGGTACCATCTGCAGGGTTGGTAGTGCTCAAAGCATGTGGAAAATAAGGCTGTATTTCAGATACCGAGTTGTGAAGGTTCCTTATTAACCCTTAAATTATTTCTTCAATATTTTTAGGTGTATCCATTTTTACCATTTCAGCACCATCCAGCACAATTACTACTGAAGACTAATAATTATTACCTAGCAAATCCATTCTGCATAAGCTCTCTTTGAAGTTTCTGGTCTTGAGCAGCATATTCCTGAAGCTCAGATTCCACAGCAGGGGGCAGAATATTTGGGATGAATTTAGAAAATAAAGCTGGTGCCATCTGTACCCATTCTGTAAGAGGGAAAACAACAACAAAACACATGGATCTTTTGTGAAAATTTTACTCTTTGACAAATGTAACTTTGCTCTATATTAAATACATTTTGGGATCCTGAATTTAAAAAAGAAAACAGAACAAAAACCCCCAAGCCAACCCCCCTAAACCCAGAGAAACCAGGCCTTAAAGCAGAACTGTTAAAATCAGATGTTTACATGTAGCTAAAGGAATTACCACTTTTTTTTTTTGGTCATCAACCTCATCATCAAATTGAAATTCTTGCTGCATCTCACAGGGCCTGCCGAGTCTCGGGGCACTCTCAAGGACAGGCACTGACGATCAGCAAACTCACCCTAATGATCAGAGCATTTGTAACGCTTTACTCCAGGAGGCATATTCACAAAATTTACACCTCTCTTCCCTGAGCCCTACTTCTAGAAAACACAGTACTATCACCATACACCACTGCCTCTCCATCCCCCATTTCAAATGAATCAATGCAATTCTCTCACTGATCTTCCAAAGCTTAGATGAACACTTTTTAATGTTCATTATATAATTTTAACCTGTATTAGTTCACCTTCAGGATAGAAATGCGATTTAATTTCACTACACTGAACATTACCTTACAGAAGCAAGATAATTTACCTTAAAGCTGCTTCAAGGCTGATGGCAAGAAACACAGAAGACTGAGCAAAGGATGAAAATTGGGTTTATAGCAACTGTGTAAGAACTTCTTAAGAAAAAGAAATCCTCGGCAAGTATTTCTGAAGGCAGACTTTCCAGAGGTTGTAGCGGTTATCTTAAACTTCATCTTTACTTGGAAAAGAGGGACACTTTTAAAGATATTCACTAAGGCACATCACAAGTTTTTATCAAATTCCTACATAGGGTTACTTGCTTGATGCCAAGCTTCAACAGGCTTCAATCAGTAAACTCACTACATAATCATTCCTAATGTACAGGTGGTTTAAACAAAACACAATGCACTAACCTCCCTCATCATAGTATCACAGAATGATTTAGGTAGGAGAAGACCTTTAAGATTGAGTCCAGTCATAAACCTAACACTGTCAAGTCCACCACTAAACCATGTCCCTTAGAACCACATCTACACACCTTTTAAATACCTTCAGGGATGATGACTCCACCACTGCCCTGAGCAGCCTGTTCCAATGCTTGATAACCCTTTCAGTGAAGAAATTTTTCTTAATATCCAATCTAAACCTCCCCTGGTGCAACCTGAGGCCATTTCCTTTCATCCTTATTGCTTGTGAAGAGATCGACCCCACCTCGCTACACCCTCCTTTCAGGTAGTTGTAGGGAGCGATAAGGTCTCCCCTCAGCCTCCTTTTCTCCAGGCTGAACAACCCCAGTTCCCACAGCAGCTTCTCATAAGACTTGTGCTCCAGACCCCTCACCAGTTTCATTGCCCTTCTCTGGACATGCTCCAACACCTCAATGTCTTTCTTGTAGCGAGGGACCCAAAACTGAACACAGTATTTGAGGTGAGGTCTCGCCCACGCTGAGTACAGGGGACAATCACTGCCCCAGTCCTGCAGCCTGTAATGTTCATGGGGTGGTTGTGACCCAAGTGCAGGACCCAGCACTTGGCCTTGTTGAACTTCATACCATTGGCCTCAGCCCACTAATCCAACCTCTCCAGATCCCTCTGCAGAACCCTCCTGCCCTTAGGCAGATCAACACTCCCACCCAACTTGGTGGCATCTGCAAACTTACTGAGGGTGCACTTGATCCCCTCATCCAGATCATGGATAAAGACATTAAACAGAACTGGCCCCGGGGAACACCACTTGTGACTGGCCACCAACTGGATTTAACTCCATTCACCACAACTCTTTGGGCACAGACATCCAGCCAGTTTTTTAACCCAGAGAAGCATCCATCCATCCAAACCATGAGCAGCCAGTTTCTCCAGGAGAATGCTGCAGGAAATGGTGTCAAAGGCTTTGCTAACTTCTAGGTAGACAGTATGCACAGCCTTTCCCTCATCCACTAAGTGGGACATCTTGTCAGAGAAGGAGATCAGGTTTGAGAAGCTATAACGCCTGCATTAGTTCATTACTACCTTTAAGAAGTGGTAAGGTTGTCAAATCATATTTTAAAAGGTGATGAGACTGTTAAGTCTTAGCTACACCTCACTACCAAGGAGTATTAAGAGAACTCTTTGCTTATCCATTCACCTTTACCCAGATGTGTTTTTCAGTTCTGACTTGAATAGTTTTACAATGGCTTAAAGTCAATCACCTGGGTCTTCGTACTCAGCTGTGGAAAGCAGATACCACAAACTGTAGGAACAATTTTTATACTTAAATATCTTACAGACACAAAATCTGATTAGGCCCATTACACCAACCCAAACCAGTATCTGTTGCGTTAAGTAGACAGCAAGACAGGGATCATCTGAAATGGACAACTGGGAAACCACAAGTCCAGCATGTACAACATTCAGTGAGGAACAACAAAACCATACTGAGCTGCTTTTGAAAAAATTACACTTTTATACTTTATATATACCCTTCCATTCTTTGGTACTGAACAGTTTATAAAAATGAAATTATTACTGCCTTAAAAGTGATGGCAAGATGTTAATTTTGCTGTTGTAAAAATAATCCTGGCTTACTAAAAGTGCTTTATCCACACATTTTGTAAATCCAGGCTCCACCACACTCCTGGCTTGTATAAACACTTAACATTGCACTAAAGCTTTTTTGTAAAGCTTTCCCTTCCTCGTTTCTATTTCTATAAATGGGAATTGCAAAGCAAAAATAGACTGAAGCTCAGACACAATCCTTCTCTCAGTCACACCACACTAAGAAGAAAGTATCAGTATTGTAAAAGGAAGGGAAGTGGGTACCGTTTTGTTATGGATACTTTGAATACTTCCTGTTTCTAAAGTCTTTTCAAACACAGGCTAGAGCTCTACTCAGTTCTCTTAAACTTACAGAACCACAGACTTTGGCACAAAAACGATTAGAATCTGCAACACCATTTTCCTTTCAATATAACTGTTGTTGCACAAGATGTCATGACGTAGTCGTGAGTTAAATTAAGCTCTTCTGTGAAAGAATACCAACCAAATAATGCCTTCCTAGAAGAAACAGTTATTCATCTCATCTCCAAGAGCTGGCCATTTGAAGTCCGACTCACAATATAACTTTCACCATTTTAATACTTCCAAACTTTTGCCATGACCGACTCACTGAACTGCCTTCTTTCTTTATTTCTACAGAGCAGAAGAAACAGATCTTCCCTTTGTCTCCAGAGTAGAGGGCTGCATTGTTTTTCCAAAATAATTTGGTATTCCTATGGTACCTCGCTCAGGTCACAGAGATGGGCAACAAGAAGAAGCAGGGCCTTCACACAGTAGGACTAAGCATTAGGATGGACAGACCACAGCGCACAATTGTTTGTTAACTGTGCATTACATAAGATAGAGACCACATATGTATTTAATAAAACATATCACAACCACAGTATGAGAGACTCCTAGAAACATCTTTGTATTTTACCTGGTCGTAGTGTATACAGGCCTTTCACAATATTTGCCATGGTTGAAGGAGTTATTTGAAACGGCGTTGACTGAGCTTCCAAAAGTAAAGCTGAAACAAAAATTAAGAGAATTAGGCATTTTTAAAATCAAAAAAATATAGGCTCTTACACATACTTTTTGTATCAAAGAAATCGTTGTGCTTTTTTTTTTGTTATCTGATGTCCTCACAAAGGCAGCAGACAGGTATGATTGACAAATTAACTCTCAAGAGTGATAAAACATCCCCTTTAAATAGAAATACTCTGTTCAAATTATGTATGATGAAAATACAAAATAATTTATTTTTCATCCATTTTCAGACGGCAGTTGTGAGGAAAAACCAAGCAAGCGATGCTCTAAGTATTCAGATGCAGAACTGAAGTAAACTATTTTTAGAAGCACACTCATACTGAGTGTGCTAAACACCTGGAGATCCATACATCCTCGCATTACAGTATTTAGCATCTTCCCCATAATACTAAGGCTGGATTGAAAGTCCATGAATGAAGTACAAGTAGTATAAAAAAAAAAGAGAAGTCATATAAGAAAAGTTGTTCTTTTAAACACACAAGTGACCATTTCTATTTCATTTTTGGTATCTTCTGTAGTAAACATTGCAATATTTGCATCTTCCTCTTGATGAAAAACGTGGCAATAGCAGATTTACTGCTTATATTACAATACCAAGGCCTTTAGCCTGCCTTGTATTTGAGATTTGTACATCCATCTGAATTACAGAAACAAGCAAACCAAAAAAATCAATAAGGTTTAAACCAATTGTTGCCTTTCAGTTTTTATACCTCTACAAAAGTAGTTGAGCAGTCTACGCATCTTTCTGTAACCACTACGTAAAGGAAAAATGACAGTTACAATTCTACCTAAAGGGTGTACCTCTTGTGCTTACAGTGTAGAGACTCTGGGTTTTAAACTTCAAAGCTTCACCAGTTTTGTCTTTAGTATCTGCCACTAGTGTACTTATCATAAAAAGAAAAATCTTTGGTAGCATGTTCTTCTCTTTGTGAAACCCTAAATGGCTCATGTAATAGTAAGATTAAAAAGAAAGTATTTTTTCTAATCTCCAAGTAATCAAGGTGGTTATATTGAGCTGTTATAGATGAATTTATTTTACAAAGAACCATCTTAAAAGCGCTTGCTCCTTTCAGCTGAAGCCTTGAGTGGGTAAGAGCCTGTGATTTGTTTTGTAATGACATATTTACAGCCTCTTTCCTAAAGATTTTTCCAATGGCCTCTTGGCAGCCAGAAAAGTTGCAAATCATAAAATTAAAAAAGGGATAATGCTTTATAAGGAAGACCTGCAGACAGTAATGCATAATTCATGCAGTGTGTGTGTATTTACATATATATATTTAATTAAACTGTAACTACTTTAGCATAAGCTTCACCAAGAGATTTGTAAAGTGTCCAGAGAATTCTAGATTTGTTCTTCATATGTGGACACCAAATTATGTTCCAAAACTACATATAACACATTATTTTAAATGGAATAATCCTGAAAATTAATACTAACTTAAAGACCACAAGTCCAGAGTTAAGTCACTTGAACATTTTACTAGATGTTAAGAAGTAATTCAATTAACAGAGCTTCTTGGTTTTATTCCTGATAAACTGAAAACCGTGCTCTCCTTTAGTATTCAAGTTATAACTAGCAAGAGCAATTTAAAAATATTTCAGAAGCTATTTTATATAATTGCATATGTACAAGGCATACTGTGGAAGAGAAAAAAGCTATTGAGAGTTGCTTTGGGAACAAACCCAAGTATTAACGGCAGCTGCCCACAACTACATAACTAACTAGAGGGCATCTGACTACTTGGATCTCCCTCAGTAAATGGAAAATTGCAGGTCATACTTATTCCATTGGATGAAATCTGAAATACAGTGCCCATACCCTGAAAATACATTCGTACGTACTGTCATCTTTCACTTTATTTTTTTTTAAATAACATAGAACAAGCAGATGGCAGATACAAAGCAAATTTTTACTTTATGGTACATATGGATCAAAGATGAGAGGTGATGAGCACACCAGACCAGTGGTCCACCTCACTCCTGTCAGCCTGTGGTACTGCAGACATGCTGGGGCTGCAAGATGCTCCAACCTTTCTCCTTCCCTCCCAGCTAATGAAACCCCTACAGCACTCCTCCAAGTGATCCCTTAACATGTTCCAGGTGCTGACCAACAGAATTATTTGTAAAACCAATCGTTTAAGAGGATAGTCCACATCTCGAGTATAGATCACCATTATAAACATGCAATATTATTTGTAACTTTAAGATAATATTCACCCATGAAGCTCATTTCAATTGTGATCCTTTGAGATAACATGAACAAATATATTTGCAAGTAAAACGAGCTGTTTCTGTTCTAGATTACTGACCACATCACCTGCCATTAGAAAGGGATTTCATGAATAAGCCAGTGGAATAATTCACTTAGAGATCAATTCTACAGAAATATCTTCTTCATCACTTTATTGCAGCTTCGGAAATTAACATTTCTTATCTTTGTTTCTGCAACTGCTTACACCATGTGCTACAATGAAAATTTCAGTCACTCCTGATTTACAGCCAGTAAATACAAGCACAATGCTATTACATTCAACAACAATATAACAAAGTAAGGGCATATATTCCCTGTTTCTCTACAAAGAAAAGTAAAAGAATATACTATTCACTAAACCATACAGTAGAAACTAATCCAACCTAAACCTTTTCCAAACGCTAAACATCAGTACCTGAAGGATGAATAGCACTGCTGTAGGATATGTATTTTCAGAACAATTTCCATACGAATGAACCAGGCTCATCTCTGGATACGTCCAAAAAATCTCAAAGGAGGTTTATAGACAAAGATGTAAATAGATAAAAGATGTAAGACTCCTTCACACACAAATTCATCTTCAGTTTTGCAATGAAACCTACCCAAAGTTTCAATCCTATATTCTTTCTTAAGAGAAGGTGACTTAAGCCGAAGGAATAGAAAGAGCTGTGCCAGACACGCTGAACTTACCTCTGTTGTTATTTTGCAATCTTACAAAAGACCTCCAAATATTAAGGCTTTGGATTGTGCTTTATTAGAATAATTAACGAGACTCTACAACACAGAAGCTGCACAGACTCCTCCTACCCACTCCCAGAAGCTCCACCTGCGGCATTTACAAAGACAGAGCAGGGTGAGGCAGAGTAAAACTAAACCTCAGATGAATGACAGCGGTAATGACACTATGATACTATCTGACCACCTCTGCAGTGCTTATGAACTAATAGCACATTTTACAGACTAAGTAACCAATATGCAGAGAAGTTAATTAACTTGCAAAATAGTCTTGAAAATAACTCACGGCAGAATCAAAGAAGAGAAGTGTGGGTTCCCATGATGAAATGCTTTAACTGCAGAAAGATACAAGATGCTTTGAAATATTGTTGAATATATGCAGTACCTAAAATGGCCTCAGGATTTTTTTGAGGAATGATGGATGAACTATGTTGGAGTAAGTGAGGTATGAACCTGCAGCACTTCAGGTACTCTGCAGTAAGCGAGTTACTCCATTATTGCAGAGTAACCCTGAAGAAGCTTGTACCTTGATGAAGGTTTAAGCTACTTCACAATTACAGTGGGGTATCTGGGGCAAGAGCTGGGACCCCAGTAACTCCAGGAGTAGCAGATGATATCTTACAAGTTCAAACTCACTCACTCATAACTCAAGATTCACTTGGAAAAACTAAGAGTTAGCTATTCTAAAATTCTTTTTCTATCCTTCAACATTCCTTTCAAAATAGGTTTATTTTGCTTGGCAAAGACGCAATTTTTCCAGAACAGTGAAACTTTTGCATGTAGATGCATAAGATCTTTTTTATTTTCACCCTTCTGCAGTAATCAAATAGAACTTCAAAGTAAGATATTTTCGCAAATCATACATAAGTATGACTTAGGCAGATGTATTCAAAGTTGCAATTATTCAACGATGCATTTAAAAAAATTATAAAGCATATTCCCATTAAAAGCAATTCCAACAGCTTCCACAACAAAGGCGTTAGTCAGCTGTTGCTCTTCAGTCTTCAACAGAAGTAGAACTGATTGCTTAAAGAAGCTACGAAGTAAAACAAATGTATTCTGGAGCTCTTTATCCCATTGTACAAATTGTGCTCTTTACTACTTAATTCCAAGACACATGCAATATTTATATTATTTTGCAGAATAACAACTGGGATATTTCCACAGAACTTGAGCCCTTACAGAAGGGTACGTGAGATACAGTGATGCACAGCAGCAATGATGGAGCTATCGCCAGTGAATCGCTTAAACAAGCTTTAAGAGCACAGGCTGACCTGGCAGTTCCGCCCTTTAGGAATATCATCAGATCACTGCAGTCAAATCTACAGTATAATAAATTACCTTTCTCTCAGCTAAATTATATCAGATACATCTGACCACACGAACCCTTCTACTTCACTGTGATAGCATCACATTCACCTTGAATATGGTTCCCGTACCCCAGCTTTACTCCCAAATCCAGTCCCTGCAAAGCCCATGTGCCAACTGCAATTAAACAGGGAGGGAACCGCTACGGCTGGCGACCAAGATGTGGCTGTAGGTTTCTGTTGTTGTTGCTCTGTGTTAGGGTTTTTTGGGGAGATTGGTTGTTTTTTGGGTCTGAGGTTTTTTGTTGTTGTTTTTGGTTTGTTGTTTTGGTTGTTTATTTTTTTAATCTACTATTTTATTATTAAATCGACTGATGAACCTTTATCATATATTATCTTTTCATTACCTCAACCCATGTACAATTTTGTACACGTTAACCATTGATGTAGAACTTCAAAAGCCTTTTGCATGAAAACCGACCTTCCCTCTGGCTTAACCTTCACATTTCCAGTTACATCAAACTCCTTGTGATTCTGCATTTTTATTTTCCTTTAAACAGAACCTAAAATAAATTTTTAGCTACTTAAATTCTTCAGAAGTTTGTAATGAATAAAGTGTAGATTAGAAAAAAGACAGTAAAAGTTGTATTTATTACTAAGCATTTGCCACTAGGCATTTAATAAAGC